GCTGGAATAATGGACCATTTGAGGTGGATCGACAAGGAAGTAATTGCTTTTTATTTCAAGTAAACTTGAAAAGCTATCATACAAGATACCAAACAAAGCAGAGGAGCCAATTGGTTGGCATAATATTGGTTGTTACTTGCTTCATTTTCGTTTTGCTTGGTAAATGAAATCTACTTAAAGGGATATGTATAGCTGCTAAATTTGAGCCTGACCGCAGGTTTTATTACATCAACATGTTTCGAAATCACTGATGATCTTCGCAATCTCACAGGCTCCAAGCAAGGTGATTTTTTCTCAGATCACATTATTTTTCTGGTGTTTAGCTCTAGATCACATCATTATTTTTCAAAGTCGAATCATTTCTGTTCTAAATGACCTAAATCGCATTATTTCTGTTTCGCATGCAAAATAAGCGCAAAAGCGCCTGGTAGGGGGGCGGGGGGTAATTCCTTATAAGAGGGTAATGGGGATGTGCCACTGGATGCATGGGGTCGCATTTTCACGTCTGTAGTGACTATAATGGGGTCGCATTTTCAATATAATTACTAGAATGGGGTCGCACATTTTCTGATTTTTGGTGTAAGACAGTTCTTCATATTTACGGTTAGCAAACGCACCAGAATGTTTGCACTGTGGGTGAGAAGTAGAGTGTTCTTCATTCAATATAAGGCAGATAAATCACTGAAAAGAAAGTGACTAAGTTGGGATCACGACAATTACATATTTGCTCAAAAGTGACTAAGATGGGGCCTATACTTGGCCACAGAATAGACTATAATGAGGTAGGGGTTCTGAGAGGCCAGCGGCACATACCCAGCAAAAACTAACTTAAGTACCGCCCCCCGGGTAAAAGCCTTTCCGGTTCCCCTTTTTCACAAACCGGCTTCGGCATTAATAAAACATTAGTATTATAAATATTCCGTATTTGGGCGACTTTATTGTGCGCTTCTATTTTTTTTAAAATGAGGATTAAATACTGTAAGCTTCGTCTCGCAGCAGCTCTACTAAACTGGCTCTTGTAAGAAGTAAAAGAAGTCAGCCTTTCCCACAATCTGAACGCCTGGTAAAGGCTAGGTCAACCTTAAGTAGCTAAAGCACTCTTAATGCAAAATGATTTGGGATTTAAAGCGCTCATCGTTTTGTTTATTATTATCATTTATTTATTTATATTTTCATTCTCCTTGAAAAAGAAGCTTCTTAGAAGGGCTTGTATTCCTGAATGTTTTCGTTTCAAAGGGGCTCAACTGAGGGTGGGGGGGAGGGGGCTGCCGAGCAAGAGAGCTTCCCCGCGGGCAAAACGGAGGCAAAATTGACCATTATCAACTTAAATAATTGATGAAACAAATCTTTTTGTTCAACAATTAAAAAGACTTGCGCCTTATTGGCAGATTTCGTATTTACTTTCCACTACAACAGTCGTCAATGGAATCAAAAATAGCACATACAGAAAGCTGAAATTTGCAAACACTTTTAATACTTTCTCTCAAAGCGTATACACAGTTATCAAGAAACAATTTTTTTCTGAGTTTCTCTATCAAAACTCCTCTTTGACTGATAGAACTTGCGAAAAACCACCTTCAACATGGCGAGGCTTGGTATTTTAAAGCTGTAGGGTGGAGACGTGAAACAAATCCGGCCAATCAAAATCAAGGCAGATTATGCAATGAACCAGTCAGAGCTTGAACCGCGAAAAGGGCAGGAAAGGCTTCTGAGCAAGTCACGTGTTTTACATTTGATTGGTTTGCAAGATAGCAGGAGATTTTTCGCCAAAAACCGATCTATAAAGGAATAGACACTCGACGAAAAATCTGTTTTGTTCTCAGTTATAGGTCATGTAGCGTGGAGTGGCACTGAATTTTGCGTAAGCTTTGATCACTTTGTTCACTGCTTCTAAGAAGTCTTTCTCAGTCGCAACCTGTCAAAAGCAAAAACCAAAATAAGTTTTCATATCTTTAATAAGTTACATTCTTTTTCCAAAACGATAACTGTCTTTTCTGGTCCTCAAAGCCTTTTTTCCTGTCTACAGTTTAGATTAGCGAGTTTGTTTGAGATGCAAAGTTCAAATAAAAGTCACTGACCAGTACTAATGAAGATTAAAAGAACGCAAACTGACTTTCTTAGTGTCTTTTTCGGGAACAAGGAAACAAGATCTTCCTTGGTACTTACTTTTCTTCGTGACCGAATGGCGAACATGCCTGCTTCTGTACAAACACTGCGAATTTCAGCTCCTGAAACACCAAGGCAAGTAAGTCACAAATGTACCAGGCCGAAAAAAATTCATACCAAACACCATTTGTCTCATAATTGGACTGTTAAAATATGACATGTTATATTCTACTAACTTTTGAGTCTGTGGATGAAATCGTATGGTGTTACCATTCAAATAAAACCTCTTCAGTAGTACTTTTACTTGGTACTTTTTATTTAGTATGTACTTCTAACTTTTGAGTTTGAGGATGAAATCCTGTGGTGTTTATTTATATATTTTTATTTTATTTTGTTTGCCACACAATAATTACAAAAAATAAAGGAAAAGAGAGAAAAAAAGAAGTGCCGAAGAGACCTTACAGAAACTATACGAGCTTATGAGAGGTTAGGCCTCCTCGAACTACGAGTTAGAGCTGTTTAACGTCAATTAAAGGAAAGATGGCGAAAAGTCGAAGATGGAAAGATTTATGAATTGTTTCATATTTACTCAATAATTTAATCTTCAGTTTTTTCTTAAAAGAGGAAAGTTACCATTCAAATGAAACCTCTTCAGTAGTACTTTCACATGGTGCTATTTATTTAGTATGTAGTTCTAACTTTTGAGTTTGAGGATGAAATCCTACGGTGTTACCATTCAAATGAAATCTCTTCCGTCGACGGTAATTTCAAGTACTATGCTGTGTTTACTCACCCGTTGTGTTGGGGCATAGACGCGCCAGTAACTCATATCTAATATCCCGCTCCACACTCATGGAACGCGCGTGGATTTTAAATATGTGAGATCTACCCTGTGTGGTGAAAAAAGAAATAACGTTTTACCCTGTCAGCAATCTTAAACAAAGTTACGTTTAATTTCGCATTTGCTTTTTAACGACTTGCTTTGTGATTGGTCGAGAATTTCGCTGCAAATCACTCGTAGGCTGCACTATGCACTTCCTGCGCTTGACGAAAATGACTGGTAAATTTCGTCCCAGTTAAAAAAAAAAAAATAATCATCTTTATCGAGGAAACTTTTTCATTAAAGATATGGTTTTCAAAAACGACCTAAAAACTAGATATATATTATAAAAACAAAAAAAGCTATAAAATTACAAAGGGATTAAAAAGATACAAAAAATGCATAAAAAATTAAAAATAAGTATAAGTAAAAATTAAACGTAAGTGGCTATATTAAAAACTTAAAAACATTACGTTTAAAACTATTTACATTCCTTGAGTCTTTGATCGTCTGACTGAGGGAGTTAAAATCGGAAACGGCATTATATTGTGTTCTTTGCTTCCCCCAATTTCTTTTGACACGTGGTAATCTAAAATTGCCTTTGTTACGTGTATTATGCCTATGAAGTACGTCTTGTCTAATCAAGTCCATATCAGTTCCTCTTACCAAAAAACGGCCGCCAAAGTCTGAAACTGTAACAAGGATCGCTTTGAAGAAAATAAATTGAACACGAATTTCCGTTTGGATCATTCCGTCCGGAAAAACAGGAGTACCTTTTCAGATGTTCCGCTCCTCCCGCAAAGTTTCCGCTAAAACGACCAAAATAGCCGTCTTTCATTTACTTTCCGACTGGATTTTTCTGAAACTTTTTGAGGGGATCCTGACAGCTTTGCATCACCACATCACAACGTTAAAAGCTTAAGATACTTTTAAGAAAAGCTGATGAGGTACCTCTAAATCAGGTAGACTAAATTCAATTTTTCTGTCCAGTCTTCCTGGTCTGGTCAGCGCAGGATCAAGAGTATCTGGTCTGAAATGAAAGTGCACCATTACACAGTTGTATTGTTGCTAAGGATTGATGTTATAACACTGTATTACCAACAGCTCTCTAAGTGAACAAAACTTCTTACAATCCCTACCTCTTGGCTCTATGATAGGGACACTTTTATAGTAAGGATTCTTGGGCCATCGCTGTGGTGTCTATTAGGGACAGGCCTTAAGATCCGACAACGGCGACAGCAACGAGACCTGTAGTAACGTCATTATGAAACTCTCTTTTTCAAGAAGGGTTTCACTATACATATCGTCCCAAGTGAGGGAATCCAAGACAGTCTTGGATTCTGGATTCCAAGCTGTGAATTCTGGATTCCAATTGTCAGTGAGATTCCAGATTCCTTGAACTAAATTCCGGATTTTAAAGCCCAGGATTCTGGATTCCACAAGCAAAAATTTCCCGGATTCCGGATTTCCTTACATGGGGCGATAAATAAATATTCGGGAGTCGTTTAAGGTGCTACCGGAGGCTGATTTGGGCATTTTTTTGTAAATTTCAGTCGTGTGAAAATGTTCGAAGTAAAAATTTTAAAAAACGGTGAAATTTTTTAATGAAAGTCATTACGTGACATGTCGGTGACTTTTTTGAGCGACAAACGTCAACCGGAAGTGAGCCTTTTTCTCATTTAATACGTCGTAAGGCTACGAAATTTGTATTACTAAGTGTCGTTAACCAAGAGGTTTTTCAAAATCACAGCTGAAGAGTTCAAAAAGTTCACTTCCGGTTGACTTGCCTCGCTAAAAACGTTGTTGCCTAAATTCCCTATTCTTACCGATTTGTTGCCATAAGAACCTTGATGTTTCCTCGTGGATCAAACCCATCAAGTTGATTAATAAGTTCCAACATTGTTCTTTGAACCTCGTTATCACCTCCAGCGCCATCATCAAATCGAGTGCCTGGCAGATAGTAAAAAAAACCCCATAAAATCTTAGACAAAGGCACCGAACTATTAATACCTGTAATATCACAAAGGTAGCTTGTTTTCCATTAAGTTGGTAGATGTCTTTGAAAGTGCTTAAATTTTGTGCAAATTCAAAATAGTTAGACTGGTGTGGTTGATGTGGAGAGGTAAATCTGGTTAAACTGATACTATAATCCCCAGCATTGTTAGTAACAGATTTTAAGAGCTTTTCAGCAGAAATTCTGTTCTCATTTGTGCACAAAAGTGGTGACATACCTCCAATAGCATCAATTTCATCAAAGAAAATAATGCAGGCTTTCTTTGTTCTGGCCATTTCAAACAATTCACGCACCATTCTTGCACCCTGGGGAATCACAAAAGGGGAAGAAAATGTTGTCATTTTCAATCTGTTCTATTGTGTTGAGAAGTGTTTTTCCTTAATGCGGCGGGAAGGTTTTTGTGATCAAGGGAAGCCATAGTAGTTGGACTTCAGTCGCTGGAAGGTTCAAACATGCCGGACAGGTTTGGGTGAAAGACCAAACGACTTGCAATGCCTGGCCCTCTAAACTGGGGGTTGGGCAAGGTGTTACATCCAATCTCCATAAAAAGAAATATCACCGCTGAAACTAAACACACTTTTTAAGATAACAGTAGCAGTTGGCGAAGATGTGTAGAGTCCTTGTTTGAAAAGATCGCAATGAGGCGAGGCGATGTACATGTAGAGGTGGTAATTATTATGTTAATTCATCCATCTAAAGTAAGCAGGAATTGCTTGTTAAGTCAAGAAACAAGGCATCTTTAGTGAAGTTTGAGTTCAATTTTAATAAAAGTATTAGCAACTGTGAGTTAAAAGTAACTCTTCAACGATTTAAAACCTTTGCAAAATGCAGAAAGCGTACCAATTCAAATCACTATCACTAACCTCTCCAACATATTTTTGCACCAGCTCAGATCCAATCACTCTGATAAAACAAGCATCTGTCCTGTTTGCCACAGCTCTTGCACAGAGAGTCTTCCCTGTACCAGGTGGCCCATATAACAGAACTCCCTTGGGAGGTTCTATACCTAAATTCACAAACCGTTCAGGCTGCAGAGAGAAATTGACAAACCCAGGTAAATACCTGTACAGTGACGTGGTAAAATGTTGATTAATCTTTATTCTCTAAGTGGTCGGGCCACACAAGAATTCACCGTACAATCAAGAGTCAATCAGAGACATTTAACCGGTGGTCCCATATTACTACAAAATACAAACTGATGCTCTTTACGTGAAGTAGTGGAGTTTCTACAACTTCTCGTAGTTTATTTATCTGTTCCTTGCAGCCTCCTACATCAGAGTATGTCACATCTGGCTTCTCCTCCACCTATAGAAAAAAATTGCAAAACAATTTACATCACACATTTTTTTGTACTTTAAGTGAAAGATTTTAGTTTTGAAAAACCTCTTGAGCCACTTACATGTACCTTAAATTTAACAGTTAAAAAACATCAAAAAAAAAAACGGGAACACCTTGATTATTTCAGAATTGTTCACAGACTTATGATTAACAGCATAACATATTGGAGATCAGGATACATAAATGTTACACTGGTGCTGTTTGCAGATAAGTTATCCTGGATACTCAGATTAGAGTTTCCTCCCAACATAATAACATGAATTCCTAAAATATTTCTGGTACCCATAGTTTTTTGTTCAAAACTATGTATTGTGAACAGGCTTGAACAATACACAGTAGTTTTTCTTTACCAGGCAAGGAAGCTGCCTTTAAAATAAAATCCCTTGACTATTCCCTGGCCTTAATTCCCTTACTGTGGTAACCATAAGCTACATGTAGATATATGTATTGCAAACATGTTTGTACTCAGTAGATTACCTGCATCATTGTAACAGTTGGATCAATCTTTGGTGGGAGGGGAATGTGAATTTGATACTTGTTTCTATCAACCCTGAAAATAGGGAAAAAAACGTAAGGCATGGGACAAGATGCATTGAAGATGTTTAAAACCAGAAACATTTCATTGCCTGAAAGACTGCTTTAGTAACATGCACTGCCAACCATAAGCAGTTACTACGGCAGGCTTGTGAGTGGCAAAAACATGCACCAATGCACCATCAGAGTAATATGCTTGTATACCTGAGAGGGCGATGGGGTAAATTTCTTGATAGTCCTGATAAATAACAGTTCCAGAAAGCTGTTGTTATTTACATTCAAGATTGAGAGTTTCAATAGTGTTGCAGATAATAATAAAATGATACAACTACACTGTATCAGTTTTGTTAGCTAGGACCTGAACTTTTTGAATATTTGATTTTGGTCCCAAAAAGTTACTGGAACTTTCAAGAAACAGACCTCTAGCCAGCCAAAATAGTTGACTACCCCACTTTGCAAACAGGACAGCACATGACACTTTTTCAAGCTTACATGTAATTTTGCCTTAACTGCAAAACTGCCATATATTTCTAATTAAACAGGATTTACAATTAATCTTGTTTATTGACAAGATGTGGATCATACCCAACTCGCATTCCTTCTTCAATATCTGTGGGAGCCACTTGATCACCAAGATCAACCACAAACTTGGCAAACTGTTTGACATTTATCACATATTTAGCATCATCAGTGTCTGCATTTATTATCTTTGTACACCTTGCCACCTGACAGAGATAAGACAACACATAAAATAAATGAATGCTCAGTTATAATTAACTTTCAACCATAGACATGAGACAGTTACTAAGTGGTTATTATTCCAAAGCATAAGGTGGTTCCAAGAAGCTTTGTACAAAGTCTAGAAACATCACCATGCATCAACAGTCAGTAGTGAATTAAGGAAAAAAATGGTAACACTCAAAATAACTGTAAGTTGACAGTTTCAGCTCAATCTTCCTTATTTTTATCAAATAAGGTATTTATTTTCAGTAGGTGTTTATTATAATAAATACCTGTAAAGGCTGCTCTCCCTGAAGTGTTTGTTTATCAGCTGCCAAATCCCATAAAGCTGGAGGAGCTAAGCCAGTGTCTGATTCTTTTATACCTGAAAGCAAAAAAAATTAACGTTGACTACATGTACCTACATACATTGTAAATAAAGGATAGGTCTAATTAAAAATAAATACCAGTGAAAGGAGCTGACTAAAGGTAAAGCGTTTCTTAGTTTTTAACATCTTTAAAGGCTTCACAATACTTTGTACATGTAGTTCAATGAAGATCTCAAGCTCCCTTCATGTTTCACAGTAAAACAAGGAAAAGGGCAAGACCATGGGGAGTAAATATGGTCTAGGATTGGCCCATTAACATCTGAACCATCCACAACAACCTCTTGTACAACTTGTAACGTTATCAGTTTTTATAGACATTTAACTTGTGCTGGGCAGAAAGATCTTTCAAACCATACCTGATAAAGCACAATTCAGTCAAACAGGCCAAAGCTTGTTGAGCAGAGATCTTTATCATATGACCCTGAATTATTTTTTGTTGAAAAACCATATGAAAAAAAGGCCGTATGAGGACTGTATGCATCAAGAGATAGGGCTGGAAAAAATGCATACAGCCTTGCTAGAAAAGCATACAGACCAATGCTTGTTTGCTCCATCAGAAAAAATTCAAAAAACAACAGTCATACAATAAAATGCTTATTGACTGAGTTTAGGTTGGGCTGGATGGGAAAATATTCAGTTCTCGGTCAGGAAGTCGGACCTAGAGCAAAACATTTTCCTGACAGTACCTCCCACTCAGTCAGTAAATACATAGTATTTCTTAACAGTAGCAGCTTCTTTAAATATCACAAAATATATTGCTACCTGTTAATTCATTCACTTTCTTCAGTGCTCCTTGAATATCATCTTCCACTTTTTTTATTGATCTGCTGTATAAACCAGCACCCTGTTTGAAAACACAGCCAGGAAAAACATAAATTTGTTGTAACCATAGTCCTATCATATACAGTATTTCGCAACAGCTCTTGCATCTCAATAGGGTATATACATCAAGTCAGTTATTAAACAGTTTTAGAAAACCTTCTTAATCAGTAGACAGGAAAGGGGCTCAGTCAGTTCATAAAATTATCATTAATACTCAAACTGTTATTTACAATATCTGACGCCTGGTTAGCTCAGTTGAGAGAGTGCCAGTCTGCTGTGGGGAAGGTTGTGTGTTCAAACCCTATCCGAACAACAGACCAGGGTCTTTAAAAAACTCAGTTCAGATGATTGAGTCATTGGATCATAGAGACATTAGGCTATTGGCCTTGTCTCCTTCATCCTTCTATCATTAGTCAGATCAAAAGGGATGTAAAACAACCCAATGGCAACTACCAATCAAAAAGAGGAGGGGAAGTTTCCCCGGTGGTGTGGTCTACTTTTCACACACATCACTCATATCATGTGCTAGGTGGGTTATAGTAAACTCATAAGTGGACAGATGCATCTAGCAGTGGTGCCCTTGTGTGCTGACATCCAAGCATACTGTTAACATGTTGATATTTGAAATGTAAAGAGGGCACAATTGTTGTCCTCTCACCCACAACATTTCATTCATTCTTTCATAATTTGTCACTCATTTAACTCACTCATAATGATGTAGCTCATCTTAAGGTAACAATATTTGCAGCAGTTTCATAATTTGTCACCCATTTAACCCACTCATGATGATATACAGCTGTAGATCATCTTGAGGCAACAACATTTCCAGCAAGCAATACATGTATACGCTCCTAACAGTCTATCACAAAACCAGGTCAGTGTCAGTGTCACTTAGGAAAAATAACAACACACACATGGAAAAAAATACAATATGAAGTGAGAGGTTGCTGAAACCATTATGTTTTCTAAAAAAAAGCCATTTTACCAAAAAATGTTCAAACTTTGGCTTATTTATTATTTTCTGATATTGATTTCTATTGATTAAATACACCTGGCATAACAGTTTAGGCAGGGATTACAAGTTTTCAACAGTATGCAACATCCTACTATGCATTAACTTAAGAAACTGTGCTAAAGTGAGATAAGCATGACTGTAATCTTCAATAATNCTGTTAACATGTTGATATTTGAAATGTAAAGAGGGCACAATTGTTGTCCTCTCACCCACAACATTTCATTCATTCTTTCATAATTTGTCACTCATTTAACTCACTCATAATGATGTAGCTCATCTTAAGGTAACAATATTTGCAGCAGTTTCATAATTTGTCACCCATTTAACCCACTCATGATGATATACAGCTGTAGATCATCTTGAGGCAACAACATTTCCAGCAAGCAATACATGTATACGCTCCTAACAGTCTATCACAAAACCAGGTCAGTGTCAGTGTCACTTAGGAAAAATAACAACACACACATGGAAAAAAATACAATATGAAGTGAGAGGTTGCTGAAACCATTATGTTTTCTAAAAAAAAGCCATTTTACCAAAAAATGTTCAAACTTTGGCTTATTTATTATTTTCTGATATTGATTTCTATTGATTAAATACACCTGGCATAACAGTTTAGGCAGGGATTACAAGTTTTCAACAGTATGCAACATCCTACTATGCATTAACTTAAGAAACTGTGCTAAAGTGAGATAAACATGACTGTAATCTTCAATAATAGTCAGAAGTGACAAACCATAATATTATTGACAAGCATATAATAATAAGCTTATGTCAGTATACATGTTGTGGTTTAGTTTTATTCGTGGTTTAAATTTACTTTCCTTTGTTTCAAATTGATCATCATACGTTACTATACCTCGGAAAAATAAAATAAAATTCAAGCCAAGGATATTGAAACTGAACCTAAACAAATTTCCTGAACATATCAAGCCATATTAAGCCATGCAAAAATATAAAATCCTGTTACGCTTTACATAAAAGTCGATACATTTGATGTACTTACGTATGTCTTAAGAATTTCGATATCTCCTTCATCAAGAGCTAGAAGAGGCAAAAATGACAATAAAATTTTTAATGAAAGACCTGAATACTTGTTTCCATGTGCAATCGTAGTGAAAAAGACGTCAATCGTGTTACTAATAAGTTTCGTCGTGATTTGGTATGATTCAAAGTATCACTCGCACCTTGGATTGGCTTATCGTCTTTTTTCTCGTCGTCTTTAATTTTCCTTTGATCTTTTCCTAAATAATCCGGCATTTTGTTTGAAACTTGGAAAAACTCTCTCACAGCAATGGCGAACAAGGATAGAACTGCGCATGACCAATTTGTGCTTTGTCATCGCTCCCATGAACCTTTTCAACCTCAGCGTAGTGCCAGTTTCTCAGCAAATAAATAACATTTCTGCCATATTTCAGCGAGCGACAGATTCAGTCTTAAGCCCATAACGCAATGAAATACAGAAAAGTAATCACTTAAAAAAATCGGATAAGACATTTATGCGCTGTACGTGATACGGGGTGGCTCTCGATCCAACTGACTGCCCTTAGAGTCCGAGGATGGGGAGGCCCCGGTGGGGAGGTTAGGGTACTCAACAAAGTTTTATACGGGGAGGGTCGTCACATACCTAGGTTAAGACTTTGCATCCCTTTTAACTGCTGTAAATGATATATGTTTCAAATATGAATAAATGACAGGAACATAAAATTTTCTCGACTTTTTCAAGGTCATAAAACGCGTCTATAAGCCCTTTTGGGCCTTTTTACAAACCGAAATGACATAGTTCCTACCCTTTCATATACTTCAATTCGTGAAATCCCTACCCTTTCACCACCTGAAGCCTGAATTTCAAAAAAGGTACCTCTTTTGGGCTGAACCTCCCCTTATAGGCCAAAAAGAAAGTATTCCTCGGCATAAGAGGTCGGATCGAAATTTGGGTCCCTCGCTGTTGCTACAACCAGTTGCAAAAGTACTTGAGACACTGTACCGTATTTTGGCATAAATGGCCTGCCCATGATTTTGTGCTTGTGATCCCCCCTCCACCCCTTATCAAAGTTGCTAGCAATACAAGACCATACTCAAAACTTGGAGGAACAACTTTGAATTGGAGGGAGGAGGGAGGTCAGTATTATATTTTACAGACCTGTGACCAGGAGCGATTTGAAGCAAGAAAGGTCGTTTTCCCGTGGGAGTGTCTCATCATTTTTGTAACTGGTTGTAGCTAGTAGGAATGTTCATAATGCAAAATGTACCCGCATAGGAAATAACATATTTCGACTGCAGTTTGAACAAATAAGCGCAATAAGATTGGTACAATTCTTAGTTGAAACGATCCGTTTAGGGGTGGCGAACTGAACTATGATCATGCGTGTTACGTCTCCTGCAACCACGTCCCCAGGTTCTTCTCGTTTTCCAATATGGCGGAGGCAGGAGAGAACCTGTTTTCTTCCTCTATTTTCAAATACTGCACGAAACTCATCAGAACACCGGAATAGCAGCACGCGCTAATGCTCTTAAATGTTTGATTTTGATAATGGTGAATGCTTTTTTTCGTTTTGGTCTTTGGACCCATTGAGGAAGTACGAAACCGGAACACCGGAAAAACCCAGCCAATTCTCTGAATATATTGCTTTTTGATAACAACGCTTTTTCCGTTTTTGTTTTTGGACCGCCCTGATGGTAATCAGAAAGTACAAAGTTGGACCAAAGCCCGAAAAAGTATACCACCGGTGCTTAACCAAGAACTAAGAAATATTCAGTTACAAAATTTTAAAACACATTATTTTTTATCTTATTTTTGCTAGCAATATTTCTTGCAACTTTTCCTGACTTTTGCTGCATCTTTGAGAGAGACGTTGAATCCGGCAGCAAGACAAACATTGCATAGGATAATTAAGCGATATCTCCTGACACAAAATTGTCTGGCAACATTTACCTTGCAAAGCTATCAGAACTTCAGTTAAAGTAACATCAGTAATATACCTCCCAGGGCCTGTCACAGGATGTGTCAAAGTCAAATCCGCATTCTAGAATCCACCAAAAACGGATTTCAAGCGTTTCTTTACTAAAATTCATAAAATGGATTTGAATCTAAGTGATTCACACACCAAAGGGACTCATCAGATCGAACTCTAAACCCAGCAGATTTTGAGAATTCATGTAATTCCTGCGCGAGCGTTTCAAGGTGAATGATCCCTGAAAACTGAGTACACCTGCAACCTCTTCCGGTGTTTTGGTGTGTTCATCCGTTTCAAAAATAATCTGTTCCATGTTCCGGTCTTCCGATTTTAGGGCCTTCAAATGATATGTTAATTACTATGAACTCAGTAATTTGGTTTTAGTTCAATGTCACATTTACTGAAAACTTTACATCGTCAAGAGACAGGGGGTGAGAGAGTCAGATCCTCCATTGCTACAACACCGAAAGACGAACAATGAAGATAATGTGAAAGATCCCGAAAGTACGAGGTACTCGTTCTAGTTAAATGATCACATGGCATGGCGGCCTTGCACATAATTTATTGGTCAAAGTAGTGCAAAGTTCCTAGGGATAATTTTTCATGTGTTTTATCATAAACTAGCTACGCTATATGGCAGGACGATCTCGTCTAGTGTGCACAATGGAACCTCGATATAACGAACCTGTAGCTCTATTGATTACGAAGTCCTATGTATAACGAACGATTTTCTTTACCCCAATACGAGCAATCGTTATAGCGAAGATATTTTTCCACTCCCTTGCTCCTTCGTTATACGGAGGTTTCACTGGATTGATTTGGCCTCTCTTAGTCTAGGTTAGCATCGATTAGCAGCGCGAAGTGTGACATTACTTTGTAGGCGGTTGAAATTCTACCCTAAAGTGGGAAGACCCTTTCTAAACAATTTAATTGTTGAAATAAACAAAACTGTTGAAACTTCATCTTCATGATCAGTTAATGGATGTAATTTAAAATTGACTTTTATTTACAAGTTGCACAAGTTAACTTTCATTCGCCTTTAGAGAGCGAATAAATATAGTTAAAGATATCTTTAAATATCTGGTTTTAATAAGTATCTACCGTAACTGAACTAAAGTACTTAACCTTTACTTAAAATATCTTAAGTACTTGTGCTGACAAATTTAGAACTTAAATTTTCCTTAATAATTACTTCACTTAAAGGAATGAAAGTTAGATTGACCTTCATTCTGAAAGAGAATACCGAAGATTAATCCTGAATATCCGTTCGAGTTCGAGTTCCGGGATGTCTGAGTTGAAAGTATTCCGAACATCTATTGCATACTCCGGGAGAGGGAATAGAGTGTGGGATTACTGTATTTTAGACAGAATGACAATATAATTTTTCTCGCTTTTAACAATAACAAAAGCGAACGTAGTCGGTGAGAAAAAACGACATGTGAATGAGGAACAAAGAAGAAACTCTTTGACATATTTCGAAATATTTCCAACCACAAGAAAATAGCGAAAGCTGTAAAAATTCTTCACTGAGGCAGATGTCCTGTGTTTTGTTAGTTTTCCAAAACACAAAACAATACATCTCTATACGACAGTTTATTTCTCTCCGTAAAATGTTACCCTAGATTTCCTTTTTTAAAAAAGCAACAAATGCTTTAGTTGACGCCAATAGTGCATGGTATGATATAAAAATCCGGAGACATGGGCCACATCGCTGGATTCTCTCTGTTAGGCAAACTATAGCTGCACGTTATTTGTTCTATTGAATGAACTTTCCGGAATAAAATCCAGAAAGAATTTCTCTTCTAGACTAAGGTCAATCGAACGCCCCTTTAGCAGCAAAGATTATTTAAAGAATGAAATACACTGCATGTATTTTTGCAAACTCCTGGCTATATAGCGCGCTAATACTTGTACATTGGTTTCTAGGAAAATAGCATGTATAAAACTAAGCAATGTTTTGCCCGTTTACTTGATTGAGTTGTTTAGAAATAAATTAAGTCTTATCCTTTCAAATGAGAACTACGATAGTCAGTGTTTTTCAAAGTAAGATTGGTCATTTCCCAATTCATAAAGATAGCGGTAAAAGCCGTGTAATGCTTTATGCTCGGACTAAGTTCATCTGGGCAAATTAAATAAAAAATTTCGCTGCGCATGTTATAAATTCATCTACTTCTGAGGAGAGGAAAATATCTTGCTCAGTCTTTCATAGCTCGGAAAATATATCTACATGTGAATATGCTGAACAGACTCAGTCAATGAGATTTTCTGTAACAAGTGTAAGAAATGTTCCATTTTCATACACGTACGTTTCGTTACAATTCACTGGGAATTTTCCCGAAAACTTGGCTCAAAATCTCGCCTGCAATTTGGCCAAGAATTTGGCGAGCAATGGGACCGCCACAGTACGGACAGGTAGATCTGAAAAGTAAAAAAGTAGGAGCAGTCAGTTTTGACAAGGTGACAGTAAAATCAGTATTAAACTACTCCAGAATTGAAGTGCTATTATCAGATTTCGCTGTAGATTAATAGAGGAAATAGGTGTTTTAGTCTCAGACCCTAAGTAAATAATACCTTATTATAAAATTACTGTTTATGCATTCGAGCTAAATGTAACAAAGAACTGAATGCAATTTTAAAAATGCACAAAACAAACNCGTTTCGTTACAATTCACTGGGAATTTTCCCGAAAACTTGGCTCAAAATCTCGCCTGCAATTTGGCCAAGAATTTGGCGAGCAATGGGACCGCCACAGTACGGACAGGTAGATCTGAAAAGTAAAAAAGTAGGAGCAGTCAGTTTTGACAAGGTGACAGTAAAATCAGTATTAAACTACTCCAGAATTGAAGTGCTATTATCAGATTTCGCTGTAGATTAATAGAGGAAATAGGTGTTTTAGTCTCAGACCCTAAGTAAATAATACCTTATTATAAAATTACTGTTTATGCATTCGAGCTAAATGTAACAAAGAACTGAATGCAATTTTAAAAATGCACAAAACAAACAACTTTATAAAATATTCTTATTTAGAAAAGATTAGTTGGCGGAAGGAGTTTAAAGGGAGGCTCCAATCGGTATGTGGAACTGCGTTAGCTCCAAAGGAATTGACTGGCAAACAGCCATTGGAAGTTATCCTGTCTTCGGGATCTAGGGACCTCTACATGGAGCTTAATTCTTTTCTATTATTGAGCCTTTTTACTCCTATACTCAGTTATTACACTCGATTGACTCTCTGCAGCTATATCTGCAGGAAGTTGAATACAATCGAATCGTAAATAAAAGTAAAAACAAACTAATCGCCTCCCT